GTAGGGAAAAGATAAACGATAATTGGCAACTGACAAAGTAAATTTAGTAAAATGCTAACCTGTTGATGCTATGATCATCACTAACTTGTGAGCCGTTGTCTTTGACGCTACAGAATAATTTGTGCATTAGTAACTCCAACAAAAATTCATTACGATCAAAGTTTCAATAATTTGTATGAAATTCTATGTTTAAACTTCACTGTTGTTCTGACACACCTAAACAAAAGTTGCAACCAAAGGGACGTACCCGCACAAAATGATTGCAAATATTACTAAAATGAAAAGAAAAGCTTTTTTTTTTCTTTTCATTTTGTCTTCTTAATATATAAAAGGTTAAAAGAGGCCAAAGAATATACCAGAATAGAATTTTTAGTGAAGAGGGATCAAGCTGTCAGCATTGGTTATAGCTGTTACAGTTTTTAGAATTTTTAACAAGGTAGATGAAGGAATTAAGACTTGGTGTCTTCATGAGAGTTGTAGTAAATCTTCTTATATTTCATATGAGATAAGGATGAGCATGGTAGGAGTATTATAACTCCTGATACGCTGTTTTATGTGAAGGTTGCCATTTCACAGTTAGTGATTTGGTTAAGTTGAAAGTTGTTTTAGGTGCTTAGGTTGATTGATGTTGTTTGGGTGGGTTGTCGCCACCGGCCCGAAACGGGCTTTCGGCATTCGCGAAGGATGGTTGGACTCGTTTATTTGTTTGAAAAATGTGGATTGCTAGAATGACTTATTCTCAAACTGAGACCTCGTCAAACGAGCAATTTTATTAAAAGGCTCACTAATCCATATTAATCCCAAGCGGGACCCTCCATGGATTAGTACAAGCAGGTTTCATCCGGGAGGTCAGGTACTCCACCTGGCTAGCCAACGTAGTAATGGTCAAGAAGTCAAACGGCAAGTGGCGGATGTGCACTGACTATACCGACCTCAATAAGGCATGTCCTAAAGACGCATACCCTCTCCCTCACATCGACGCACTAGTCGATGGCGCGGCCGGCCACTTTAGACTAAGCTTCCTGGACGCTTATTCCGGGTATAATCAGATACCCATGTACCCCCCGGACGAAGCCAAAACCGCGTTCATCACTGATTCAGCGAACTATTGTTACAAGGTAATGCCATTCGGCTTAAAAAACGCGGGGGCAACCTATCAAAGGCTCATGGACAAGATTTTCCATAACCAGATTGGGACAAGTCTGGAAGTGTACGTAGACGATATGGTGATCAAATCTGCCTCAGGACCCGACCACCTCAGAGACCTACGTTCCATCTTTGACGAAGTACGACGCCATCACATGCGACTGAATCCGGCTAAGTGCACGTTCGGAGTGGCGGGGGGAAAGTTTTTAGGTTTTATGTTGTCGCAAAGGGGGATAGAGGCGAACCCTGACAAGTGTCAGGCTATCATCAGCATGAGGAGTCCGATTAATGTCAAAGAAGTACAACGCTTGGCAGGACGAATAGCTTCATTGGCTCGGTTCCTGCCTTGCATGGCAGACAAATCACGACCCATTATGTCCCTTCTAAAGAAAGCCACCAAGTTCAAGTGGACCGACGAGTGCGAATCAGCCTTTAACAGCTTCAAGGTGATACTCGCTACCCCGCCGATGTTGGCTAAGCCCGACCCCCAGCTGGACATGATCATGTACATATCAGTGTCCGACAGGGCCATCAGCACCGTCTTGGTGCAAGAAAAATCGGAGCAGATGCCGATTTATTTCATCAGTCGAGTACTGCAAGATACCGAAGTCAGATACCAACACCTTGAGAAAACGGTCCTCGCCCTCGTCCACACCTCTCGACGCCTCAGACACTACTTTCAAAGTCATCGTATGCTCGTCCGAACTGACACTCCCATAACCAAGGTTCTGCGAAAGCCCGAATTGGCAGGACGAATGGTCTCCTGGTCCGTCGAATTGTCACAGTTCGACATTCGATTCGAACCACGAGGGCCCATAAAAGCGCAGAGCTTGGCTGATTTCTTGAACGAATTCACGTTGACGGCGACCCCCGACGCACAACTTTGGACCTTACATGTAGATGGATCGTCGAACCAACAAGGCAGTGGAGCGGGTATCATCTTAGAGGGACCGGGTCACGTAGTTGTCGAGCAGTCACTTCGTTTCGGTTTCAAAGCGTCCAATAACCAGGCTGAGTATGAAGCCCTTTTGGCAGGCCTACGACTGGCAAAAGACTTGGGCATCTCAAAATTACAATGTTGGAGTGACTCACAAGTAGTAATAGGGCAGGTCAGCGGCGCCTTCCAGATCAAAGAGCCGACCCTACTGTTATACTTTCATGCGTTCAATAAGCTGAAGGCCGATTTCGAAGATGTCCAAGTCAAGCATACGCCTCGGGAACTCAACGTAAGAGCTGATCAATTGGCCAGGCTAGCCAGCAGCAAGAAAGTCAGCCACTTACGAAGTGTGATACAACAGGATTTGCCAAAGCCCAGCATCGCCAAACCAGAGTGCTTACAGGTCCAGCCTGAAAGCCCTGACTGGATGACAGGAATAAAGGGGTACTTGACAGCCGGAATATTACCTGATGACCCATTGGAGGCAAAAAAGATGAGGATTACGGCGGCACGATATACCCTGATCGCGGGGGACTTATACAAAAGAGGGTTCTCGACCCCCCTGTTGAAATGTTTAACACCGGACCAGGCGCACTATGTGCTGCGAGAAATTCATGAAGGCGTATGTGGAACTCATTCGGGAGGCCGAACCCTAGCAGCCAAGGTTCTCCGAGCAGGGTACTATTGGCCAACCTTGGTTGCGGACTGTTCGAATTTCATTCAACAATGCAAGCCCTGCCAACAGCACGGACCTTTAAATCACCAACCCCCCGAGGGGTTACACTCCATCTCCACCCCTTGGCCGTTCTCCATCTGGGGTATGGACATTCTGGGACCATTTCCACCTGCAAAAGGCCAAGTCAAGTTCCTCGTTGTAGCCGTCGACCACTTCACAAAATGGATCGAAGCGGAGGCATTGGCCACCATCGCAGCCAGCAACATACAAAAATTCTTTTGGAAAAGCGTTATTACCCGGTTTGGGATCCCGTACGCCTTGATCACGGACAACGGACTGCAATTCACCGATCGACGTTTCAATGAATTTTTGAACGGATTAGGAATCAAGCACCGAATGACCTCGGTGGAGCACCCCCAGTCCAATGGTCAGGCCGAGGCAGCAAATAAGGTTATCCTTAAAGAGTTGAAACGACGTCTCGGACAGGCTAAAGGAACATGGCCAGACCAGCTACCAGAAATCTTGTGGGCATACCGATGCACGCCTCAGAGTTCAACCAAGGAGACCCCCTTTCGGCTAACCTACGGCACAGATGCAATGATACCAGTTGAGGTAGGAGAGCCTTCTCTCAGGCGAACACAATTTGACGAGGATAGCAACCGGGAAAATCTCAATATTGAGATGGACTTGGTAGACGAAGCTCGAGAGCAAGCATTGGTGAACATGGAGGCCTGTAGAACCAGGTTGGCAAAGAGAATTCGAACCAAGGTGAAACCGAGGGAGTTTCAAGCCGGGGACCTCGTGTGGCGAGTTACCGGTGAAGCAAGGAAGGACAAAGCTCAGGGCAAACTCGCACCTAACTGGGACGGCCCTTTTCGCATAATGCATAACTTAAAGAACGGTGCCTACAAGTTAGAAGAGCTCTCGGGAAAGGCTATTCCCCGAACATGGAACGCAACGCACTTAAAGCATTATTTTAGTTAACAAATTGTAATTGTTTCGGTGTACTCTTTTCCTTCCTCAGGTTTTATCCTCTTATAAAAATGTGAAGGAGGTTTTTCTGGGAAAGGTTTTTAACGAGGCACCATATCAAAAGAAACAAGCCCCTTTTGAATCATTTATCCGTCCAATTTAATTAACAAGTCTGGAAGTGTACGTAGATGATATGGTGATCAAATCTGCCTCTGGACCCGACCACATCAGAGACCTACGCTCCATCTTTGACGAAGTACGATGCCATCACATGCGACTGAATCCGGCTAAGTGCACATTCGGAGTAGCGGGGGGAAAGTTTTTAGGCTTCATGTTGTCGCAAAGGGGGATAGAGGCGAACCCTGACAAGTGTCAGGCTATCATCAGCATGAGAAGTCTGATTAATGTCAAAGAAGTACAGCGCTTGGCAGGACGAATAACTTCATTGGCTCGGTTCCTGCCTTGCATGGCAGACAAATCATGACCCATTATGTCCCTTCTAAAGAAAGCCACCAAGTTCAAGTGGACCGACGAGTGCGAATCAGCCTTCAACAGCTTCAAGGCGATACTCGCTACCCCGCCGTTGTTGGTTAAGCCCGACCCCCAGCTGGACATGATCATGTACATATCAGTGTCCGACAAGGCCATCAGCACCGTCTTGGTGCAAGAAAAATCGGAACAGATGCCGATTTATTTCATCAGCCGAGTACTACAAGATGCCGAAGCCAAATACCAACACCTTGAGAAAACGGTCCTCGCCCTCGTCCACACCTCTCGACGCCTCAGACACTACTTTCAGAGTCAGCGTATGCTCGTCCGAACGGACACTCCCATAACCAAGGTTCTGCGAAAACCCGAATTGGCAGGACGAATGGTCTCCTGGTCCGTCGAATTGTCACAGTTCGACATCCGATTCGAACCACGAGGGCCCATAAAAGCGCAAAGCTTGGCTGATTTCTTGAACGAATTCACGTTGACGGCGACCCCCGACGCACACCTTTGGACCTTACATGTAGACAGATCGTCGAACCAACAAGGCAGTGGAGCGGGTATCATCTTGGAAGGACCGGGCCACGTAGTTGTCGAGCAGTCACTTCGTTTCGGTTTCAAAGCGTCCAATAACCAGGCTGAGTATGAAGCCCTTTTGGTAGGTCTACGACTGGCAAAAGACTTGGGCATCCCAAAATTACAATGTTGGAGCGACTCACAAGTAGTAATAGGGCAGGTCAGCGGCGTCTTCCAAATCAAAGAGCCGACCCTGCTGTTATACTTTCATGCGTTCAATAAGCTAAAGGCCGACTTCGAAGATGTCCAAGTCAAGCATATGCCTCGGTAACTCAACGTAAGAGCTGATCAATTGGCCAGGCTAGCCAGCAGCAAAAAAGTCAGCCACTTACGAAGCGTGATACAACAGGATTTGCCGACGCCCAGCATCACCAAACAAGAGAGTTTACAGGTCCAGCATGAAAGCCCCGCCTGGATGACAGGAATAAAGGGGTACCTGACAGCCGGAACATTACCTGATGACCCATTGGAGGCAAAAAAGATGAGGGTTAGGGCGGCGCGATATACCCTGATCGCGGGGGACTTATACAAAAGAGGGTTCTCGACCCCCCTGTTGAAATGTTTAACACCGGACCAGGCGCACTATGTGCTGCGAGAAATTCATGAAGGCGTATGTGGAACTCATTCGGGAGGCCGAACCCTAGCAGCCAAGGTTCTCCGAGCAGGGTACTATTGGCCAACCTTGGTTGCGGACTGTTCGAATTTCATTCAACAATGCAAGCCCTGCCAACAGCACGGACCTTTAAATCACCAACCCCCCGAGGGGTTACACTCCATCTCCACCCCTTGGCCGTTCTCCATCTGGGGTATGGACATTCTGGGACCATTTCCACCTGCAAAAGGCCAAGTCAAGTTCCTCGTTGTAGCCGTCGACCACTTCACAAAATGGATCGAAGCGGAGGCATTGGCCACCATCGCAGCCAGCAACATACAAAAATTCTTTTGGAAAAGCGTTATTACCCGGTTTGGGATCCCGTACGCCTTGATCACGGACAACGGACTGCAATTCACCGATCGACGTTTCAATGAATTTTTGAACGGATTAGGAATCAAGCACCGAATGACCTCGGTGGAGCACCCCCAGTCCAATGGTCAGGCCGAGGCAGCAAATAAGGTTATCCTTAAAGAGTTGAAACGACGTCTCGGACAGGCTAAAGGAACATGGCCAGACCAGCTACCAGAAATCTTGTGGGCATACCGATGCACGCCTCAGAGTTCAACCAAGGAGACCCCCTTTCGGCTAACCTACGGCACAGATGCAATGATACCAGTTGAGGTAGGAGAGCCTTCTCTCAGGCGAACACAATTTGACGAGGATAGCAACCGGGAAAATCTCAATATTGAGATGGACTTGGTAGACGAAGCTCGAGAGCAAGCATTGGTGAACATGGAGGCCTGTAGAACCAGGTTGGCAAAGAGAATTCGAACCAAGGTGAAACCGAGGGAGTTTCAAGCCGGGGACCTCGTGTGGCGAGTTACCGGTGAAGCAAGGAAGGACAAAGCTCAGGGCAAACTCGCACCTAACTGGGACGGCCCTTTTCGCATAATGCATAACTTAAAGAACGGTGCCTACAAGTTAGAAGAGCTCTCGGGAAAGGCTATTCCCCGAACATGGAACGCAACGCACTTAAAGCATTATTTTAGTTAACAAATTGTAATTGTTTCGGTGTACTCTTTTCCTTCCTCAGGTTTTATCCTCTTATAAAAATGTGAAGGAGGTTTTTCTGGGAAAGGTTTTTAACGAGGCACCATATCAAAAGAAACAAGCCCCTTTTGAATCATTTATCCGTCCAATTTAATTACAAGTCAAAAATCAACACCCTCCCGAGCAACTTGCTCGGCCAAGGTTGAAAAAACAATTCCCTCCCGAGCCATTCGCTCGGCCCAGGTTGAAAATTCAATTCCCTCCCGAGCCACTCGCTCGGCGAAGGTTGAAAACTTAGTTCCCTCCCGAGCCACTCGCTCGGCCAAGGTTGAAAAGTTAGTTCCCTCCCGGGCCATTCGCTCGGCCAAGGTTGAAAATTCAATTCCCTCCCGAGCCACTCGCTCGGCCAAGGTTGAAAACTTAGTTCCCTCCCGGGCCATTCGCTCGGCCAAGGTCGAAAATTCAATCCCCTCCCGAGCCACTCGCTCGGCCAAGGTTGAAAAGTTAGTTCCCTCCCGGGCCACTCGCTCGGCCAAGGTCGAACACCGATCCCCTCCCGAGCAACTTGCCCGGCCAAGGTTGAAATCCAATTCCCTCCCGAGCCATTCGCTCGGCCAAGGTTGAAAATTCAAATGCCCTCCCGAGCCACTCGCTCGGCAAAGGTTGACACCAATTCCCTCCCAAGCAACCTTGTTCGGCCAAGGTTGAAATCTTAACTGGCTTTCAAGCAATCTCACTCCAAGGTACACCTCACTCGGCTAAAGAAGATTCTATGTTATTGTTAAAATGGAAACAGGTCCGTATGAAGGTACAATATCTATGTAAATAAGCAAGAGTAAAAGGAAGGCCCGAACAGGAACTAAAATTTCATTCAAGTTAAAAACGGCACTAATGGCCGGGGGGGTACAATCAAATTTGGCTCATTCGGCCTAAGGAATCAAAAAAGAAAAGCAAAAAGTATACCCTATCCCTATACATCATCAACAAAACAGATGTATCAAAAAGACGAGAGCAAAGGCCGCCTAATCGGCATTGGTTGTCTGCTCGGTCTCGTCGTCGTCGTCGTTCAAAGTCATCCCAGGGTCTTCGGCGGGGGCCGATCGAGGCGGGGCCGCATTATCCGGCTCAAGGTCATCCGGTGCCTCGGCAAAATCCAGGAACTCTCCCTGGAAAAAGTCCTTGCTCAACTCAAAAGAAAAGTCGGAGGGAAAAGCGCCGAAGTGGGTTGCCTGCCGAACGGCGTGCCAAAACCCCTCCTCGTGCTCCTTCACAATTTTATCCTCACATTCGTCCCGAAAAGAGGCCATAACAGCATCGGCCTCGGCTTTCATTTCCTCCTCCCGAGCAGCGGCCTCTTTCGCCTCTTGGACTCTTGATCACTACAAGGAAAATGAAAAATTGCGACAGACAAATTGCGACGGTTTTCTTGAAACTGTCGCCGCTTTAATATTGCGACCGTTTATACGACCGTTTTCCAAAACCGTCGCAATGTTGAACAATGTTTACGACGGTTTATTGTAAACTGTCGCAAAATTGTTCAACATTGCGACGGTTTACTATAAACCGTCGCAATTTTTTTTTTCAACACCAAAAAAAAATACTATTATTTTTTGTGAAATGAGGAAACTCTTCTGACCTGTGTTGCATGCGTGCTTCAACAACAAAAACACATACCCTCTCATTTCACAAAACGCCAACCTCTCTCTACACTCCTATGAAGCTAGGGTTTCCATTTCACTCACCGGCCAGGTTCCCATTCTCGCTCTAATTCTTTTCTTCCTCTTTCTCTCAATTTTTTTCCCTTTTCTCCTTTTCTCTAATATTATGTTTTCGTCTTTTCATTCTGTTACCGCTGCGTTTTCAGCTTTTCATTTTGACACAACCATAAACGTATGGAATATTAGTGTTTTCTTTTAGGGTTTTTCTATATCTCATATCAACCTTCCATTTTTAGGGTTTTCGATATTGTGCCCTTTTTTTTAATTAAAAATAATTAGGTACTGTGTTGTTGAAAATTTAGGATTCATATTCGGTTATGTGCTTTCTGGAATTTTTCTTAATGATTAATTTCTGCTTTGTTTATTTAATTTACTTTCATTTTGTGTGCGGGATTTTTGATTTTATTTATGAATTGGGCGTTTCAGGAATTGAGTAACAATAGGTTCAGTGATCATGATTGGAAGACGGGTGCTGTGGGAAACAGGTATGGACCTTGTGTTTCATCCGCTTCCAACTTTGTTTCAGTTGCTTGGCCTAAACCCTTTTAAGAAGGTGGTTGTTGGTCCTGTGTCACCTGTTTTTC